AGCCAAGGCAGCTCCCACGCTCCGTCCTCCACTGCATCCAGCTCCCGCTTAGAGTAATGCCAGTCTGTCTGCTTTGTCATGTTGAGGCTACGCGATGGGGGGCACACAGGCCACTGGGTATCCTCTGCCGACCCATCCGCCTACCGCACCATGTGCGTACCAGGAGGTGAGCTCCGGGGGAAAGAAGGCCAGCTTGGCGGCAATGTGGGCATGGGCACGGCGGGCAGCAGAAGAGCCAACACAGGTCCCCCAGAGAGAAGATGTTCATCCGTGGATCCTGATTCGTCATTGGGGGAGGGGACAGCAGCTGCCCAAGGAGAGGAGCTTGGCCACCCCTGACTATGTCACACCAGGCCTGACAGTCATGGAAACCATGGAGACCACCCTGACCAGCTGGGGGGAAGAGAAGGATCTGCTGCCTGGCGCCCGGGTGTTGGGCAATGAGAGTTGCCAGCGGTGAGTGGACTGAGAGCTCAGGCGCCAGGACGCAATTTCTGATCTCCATGGTGACCTGGCGCCTGGGATTTGTCGAGCCCTGTCCTAGGAACCCAAAGAGGAGAAGGCTGGTATTACAATATGTAGTTGGCCCATCAGTTGTAGGGGGGGGGGGGGGCGAAAAGTCAATGAAAGGGGGTTACTTCCAACAGAGGGCATGCCAGTAGGCTAAAGGAGACAGCAAAAATTTGCTGTTAATCTCAAAATTGGAAAGACAGAAATATAAACTCTTTCTTTGGCAAGTAAAACAGCTCCAATTTATGGGTAACAGGTAGGGGAGGGTAGCGCTACTAGAGAAGGCCACCATTTAGTAAATGCATAAAACAGCTACTTGCTCTTAGTGTTTGCGACAGTGTCTCCCATTCGGGGTAGGTCTGACAACAGCGAACAGCTGGGGGGGGGGGGATGAACCTCTGGGCACCACAGGAGGGAGCCTAATGACACGGGGCTAGTACCACATGAGGGCAAATGGAGATGTAGAGCTTCTACCACAGGTTGGCAGCTGGGTATTCAGGTCATGTACCACAGGCAGGTGGTTAAAAGAGGTAGGGCCACTCCACTTACAGTGCAGTACTCTGGTAGCAATTGGATCATTTCTCGCTGCAGTTGCTGGGTCTTCCCTGGGAGCTACATGTTATAGAGTTCCTGCCCAGCTGCTCACATGCCAGGACTAACAGTGGAGGACTGTACTCTTGGCAACAGATCAAATACCCAGCCACCAGTGTCATTGGCTACGGCAGTTGGGAAACATATTCCCTGGACATGCCCAGGAACCCATGGGATTGTGGTAACCCAAGGGATTGTGGATAAAGGAGTTACAAAAAGCCCACTCTTGCATTTGAGAAAAGGAGTCAAGGATAAAAAAAATGGCTCTCATATATGTATTTTATCTGCATATTTAGTGGTTTGCCTGAAGTTAAGCTTCAAGCCATATGGCCATAACGAAATGATCATGCTGACGCTGCACATGGCTCCTTTAACAATCTGCAATTGGACAGTGTTTTGCCCTCATAAAAGGAGACCCTGTCCAGTCCCAAACATTGGTCATTTGTGTCCTATGGATAAAAGTAATCACCACATTTATGTGGTATTTCACTCTTTTTACTCTTATATAGGACATTGCCATTTATCTTTGCCAAGACATTCACTTTACTTAATGTTTTCAGTAAAAAGAAGTTTGAGGTTTGTATATTCAAGGTCATCCATAAAATCTTCAAAATGTATCACGCTACACTGGTTCCCAGCAGGTACTGTAAATCCTTGCTGGTTCTGTGTATATATTTCCAAGCACTGAACATGCATGTTAAATAAAAAACAAAGAGCGCACTGGATAGTGCATATAAAACCACTTTAAGAGTGATAAATTAAAATTGCACTTACATAGAAGTGACTTGATCAATGCGTACCACTGACACAACTCATCCAGAGAACTTGGTATTCCTCCAGATAGATGTTTTTGGTAATACTCACTGATCAAGTAATTTTATGCTTCAACTTTCATTTGTTGGGAAAAAAGTGGTTTTATCAGCACCATCCAGTGCCCTCGGTTTAAGTTTTTTTTTTTTTCCTCCAAGGCCACTCAATATGCATATTGATATCCATACCAGGTAAAAGAGGGCAAAAAAAAAAAGGAACAACGATCTTTGACAGTGTGATCACATCTTATTTGACCACTTTTCTTATTAGACTGCTTGTTTAAAACAGGTGGTTTTAAGCACTTCTGATGGCAGAGCAAAGCATTGACCAGCCAAAGCAGAGGGCTGGAACTATCACAGTAAACTCTTTGTAAATGCAAAATCTGCATTCTCATGTACTTTCATTATGAGTGCTGAAACAGCCAGGAGTCCAAAGTAAAGCATGGCAGTGGATGTTTTCACTGACACAAAGTGAGGCTGGGGCTGTAGTACATGTGGACACTTACCATATATATATATATATATATATATATATATATATATATTAAAATATTATAAATATATATATACTATTATAAAATTTTACAAAGCACAAAGCTCAAAAATGTACTATAAACGAAGACCTAATTTAAAAACAAAAACCAAACAAACTTTCATGCAAACCCCTTTCACACTCCAAATCGGGTCTGCCTCTTAGTTTTCAGGCGGACCCAGTTGGACCATCCATAGACCTCTATGGACCGACACTTGTCTGCGGACACCCACTAGCATCTGATCCGATCCTGTACACCAAAAAACACCCGCAGGTATCTGTCCGGCGCATCGGATGGCGGTCGGGTGTAAATGGACAAGCGGTCCGTTTCCATCTGACTGCCCCATAGAAGACAGCAGGCTGTGTCTGTGTCCAGCTCTGCATCAGACCTGTCATCCGCCTGCTGAGTGGAGAGATCCCCCAATGAACAGGTGGAACCGCTGACAATCTGCCCTGTCTGACGGGGTTAAAGAACATTTTTGCCTTTTGCAATTTTCTACTTTATTGGGTTCAACATTAAAAAAATAATATCCAATTAAAATCCCAGTACTTTTATCATGTTATTTGCTTTAACATGTTCAATAACTGAATATTAATGGATGCGCCCTGATAAATATGATGAAATAAAAGACCTTATATCAAGATTTAATATACAAAAATATATTTATAGAAAACCCTTTTCTAAACATTCTTAAATAAAATGGTTTTAAAATACTTTTCTTTAATGTCCATCTTAAAAAATTAGTTTGCCTGCAATTGAGCATTTTTTTCTTTTCGGAATGAAGATGTTTAAACTTTATTCATTTTCTCATTAACTTATGAGAGTATTGTGGAATGTTTATAGTTCAATAATTATGCCAAGAGTCAGAAGAGATTATGAACAACAGATAAATCACACCTCCGGCTCCTTTCATGTTCAGTTTCAGTAGCAGACATTTGGCAATCCACTGCTGGGTGACAGAGAATGATTACCACTGATCTTTTCATGTCCTAGAGGTCAGACATTAAACAGGGAACATCCTGGGTACTTTACAACCTTGACTTGTCATGTTTCTTAGTTCAGAGTCTAAAGGCTGCAAGAACAGGGAGAAGGTACATGGAGGTTTTGTTAAAAAGGCAAAACAAGCCATGTAACAGATGTGAAAGGATTTGCCTTTACACGTACATATGTTAACATGTATCAGACCCTCCCTTCTCTCTGAACTCAAAGTTACAGAACTCAGTGGCTCAAGCTGAAAATAAATTCACGCGTGTGTATATGTTTAGTCAGAGAAGAAACTCAGTTTGAAGACCACATGCCTAGATATTTAGTATAGAAATATGAAATAGGGTATCTTCAATTTAGAATTGATAGAGTTGCTTAGATCCCAAAGGTCCTGCGAGTCCAATTTCAAAATTATATTTGTATCTAATATTGTCTAAGATGGAAAGGGAACTTCTCAAGGTATAGAGAAATGTTGAGAAAGACACATACCCAGATTTTCATATAACTGGAATGAAATTGTTTATGTCCTGAGATGAGAATTTACACATACACTTTGGGGATGGTCACTTATATTTGACTTCTTGCATCAAGCAACTGCCTTTAAGAATTTCTAGAGCTGGAGGTTTCTCTGACTTTTGGATATTGTTTATTTGGACTTCTAGATGAGGAACAATGGTCTCAGTATAATAGAACTTCTCTTCAAGAAGTACTTTGCCATGCCTGCAAGCAATAGTTTTGAGATGAACCATAGACCGCCTACATTAACATTCTTAAGAAATTTGTTAATCAAATAATTTCCTATCAAAACATAAACAACGTCAAAACAAATGTTAGAAAGCATGGGGAGTATACTGAGACTCTAGCAGCACCTTAGATCCATTTCCAGGTAACCTATACAAACAGATCATCATTTTAAATGAACCATTTTATGCATCTTATGCATGCCATTATGGGATAGGACTACTATGTGGGCTATGTGATCTGGTAAGGTCTTGTGTAGCACAACAGTTGTCTAGACTTGAAAGTCTTGATTTGTTTTACTGTACTGTCTGCAAGTTTTTGAGATCAATAAACTTAGGCTGATGATACATGGGTGAAGCTCCAAGTAGCAACAAATTGCCAGTGGCAAGATTGTTAAAATGGCTGTCCACCTATGGAAAATGCTCTGGTCCAGTGGCAGTGGGACCTCTCGCTGCATGTGGCTACAGATGCAGCTGAATCTCAGTCATAATCTAAGCTACAGAAGTAGCAATTCCAAAGGGGGGGAAACTGGTGGCCTCTTTACAAGCCTGCCATTACCAATTTTTACAAATTCTCAGCAGCAGAATCACCAGCCTGCGTGTTATTGACCTATGCATTAGGAAAAAAAAGGCCTAGGTCAGCTTCAGAAAAATTATTATTATTATTATAATACAGGATTTATATAGCGCCAACAGTCAGCGCTTTGCAATATAAAGAGCAACAATACAGTTCAATACAAGAGGGACAGGAGGGCCCTGATCCTTACAGCTTACAATCTAGGAGACCATTAACACATTAAAGAAAAGGCATGAAAAAAAGGGCTGAATTTTACCTGAATGTTTGGATTCTGACCATTAATGTCTGCTTTGGAGAGGTCTGGAAAGTTTGGAAGATCCAGAAGAAAAGAGCCTGTTCCGTCTCTTTGTAAAGGGGAGTGTCCATCAGTCATAAAACGATGTTTTGGAAGAGACCTGTGTGCTGCTTGATCATCCAGATACTCTGGTCTTTCACCATGAGGAAATTGAAAGCTGCCTTCAGGGAAGGCTTCAGCATTCTATAGAAAGTAAAATGAAAATATTATTAGAAACACTTTACATTTTCAGGAATTAATAAACCTAAAATGCAACTCTTACAAGTCTAAAAAATATATAAAAAAAAGACACACACGCCTAGTGTGGTCATAAGTGGGGAGGGTGGGGGGGGGGGGGGGGGTGGTGTGTGCACGCGGTGTTCTCATGGCTAGTGTGATCAGTTTTTGATAGGAAAGCAGAAGAATTGGCAGGAACATTGGGGATTTCACACAAAGGAAGCAATACAAAGAACAGGATACTTTTTCATACAATTACATGGTACAGCAGGCACAAAACCAGGAATACGAAATGTTGCATTTACATATTATTTAACAGAAACAGTCTACCTACCAGCTGGCTCTACTTTAACTCCAGGGTTTACCATACACAACAGGCTAAATCTTTCTAGTCACTAATATCCTCATCTTTTAGACCTCAAGGACACGTACTACGGCAAAAAAAAAAAAAAAAAAAAAAAAAAAAAAAAAGGGCCTAAACTTCTAGTGTATGGCAGGCTGCATGTGGCACCTGTGACTCTTGGGGTGCAGAGAAATGATTTTACACCCAGCATTTTTAGGTCTGTCATGCACGGTCTGTGTGCATGAGACCTAAAGGTGCAGCTTTATAAACCGAGAATGGATACCATTTTCATGATATCACAATTACTACTCCACAGTGCTTGCATTTTATCATAAAGCTAAAGCAAAAAACTTGTTTTACGGGGGGGGGGGGGGGGGTTATAAATCCTGGCAGGTTTTTTTATTTTGCCATTTTGTGTCCCATTAAGAACATTTCTCTTCACTACCTTTTCTACAGACAGGAAGTAGCAGGAAAGTAGAAGTAGTAGACAGGATGTAGAAGGAAATAAATTTCAAAGTGACCAAAATGCACGCTTAGATGTCAACAGAACCAGTGTCACCATGTTGAAGATTCCCCCTCTATTTCTATGTTATAAGCTTAGTCAAAGAGTCTGACTGAGTCTAACTGAGCTCCTAATGGAGTGAAATGAGCAAGAAAGCAGTTGGATCACACCTGTATTGGACTACATCAATAAAATTAAGTTTGGGCATTTAGAAGGAGAGCTACTTCATTCGGTTTTCTGGTGCTTAAATAGTTGTATTCCTTCTGAATTAGCTGAAATTCGAGCTATTAGTGGCCCCATCACGGCAACCCAGCTTGAAAAATTAATACTGAAAATTCTGAGATTTTTGGTGGAAGATTGATGGTTGAACATGGATTGCAGGCAGTTAGCCGGGTGCTAAGTTAGCAAGTGTTGGCTGTTTGAATGCAATAGCCAGCAAGGGAGATTTACCTCTCAAGTTTTGAGTTGCCAGATTAGAAATGGAGGGAAAATCTTTAAATGGAGGCACTGGGTTTGTCGAAGAATGGATTTTAATTTGGGCTTTTAGAAGGAGAGCGGCTTCATTCTTGCTTCTGGTGCTATAACTGTGAGCAGATCATGGACTGCCTGGAGCCAGTACCAAATGAAGATAAATTTACCAAGACTGAAGCACCCAGAATTTGGAGCAACAGTGTATAGCAACCAATGAGCTTCTACTTTTCATTTTCAAAGCTTAACTGAACAAGCTGAAGATTACAGAATCTGGAGCAGTTCTGTATACTAACCAATCAGCTTCTGTCTACTCCAGTTTTAATAAATTCCCCGGATGCATTGGTGGAGTGGAGATGTTGTGGTTTTATACACCTTAATAATAAAGCCCAATTAATTTAACACATTTTCCCAAACTGAACAGAGAAAGAGGCCTAATTAACTAGTAAACGAAAAAACAAAAACGGGAAAACTCCATTTGAGATTACTGACACCAATCAAATGGCCTTTTAAAAAAACTACTCTAGCTGCCATCTAAATTACCTTTGTAACTACCCCCATCTGTCAGCCAAATTGCCTCCAAATAGTTTTTGAGCAAAAAATAAAAAATAGGAAAGAACTGTGGGCTGTACCACACAGCCAAGCCAATGATTTTGGGTAAAAAGAAACCAGATTGACCCTTACATACTGCTACCATGTTCTGCAACCCAGTGTACTTAGCCAAACTATTCTAATGCATTAATCAAAAGTGCCAATCAGTCATCAATAAACACTTATGTTCTAAAATTCAAGAGCAGTGAAACAAATTATTATTAGGAAGACTGTATTAAATACTTTTCCATTAAGATAAGGAAACTGGAATTTCTTTTCCCGATTGGAAAACCATTTGAAGTCAGTGACTGGCTTTGCATTTCTACAACCCAACCCATTTCCAGAATTCGCTAAAGCTTTTAAGCTGCTAACAACCAAACTATCTTTGGGGGTATCAAATGTTGAATATTTTTCAGATTGAGTTTCTCTGGGATGTGTTTCAGTGGTTCACAGTTCTGTTATTATTCCGCTTGTTCTCAGCTTTGGTGTACTCATTACAACACCTTCCTTCCACAATGATCACACGGAAACAGAGCAGGGCTTATTCGTAAAAAAAAAGTGTCCAGAAAAGAACCATTTCTCATCTCTCAGCAACCAGAATCTTCCTTTGAGGTTTCTGTTTCAATAATTTTTTTATTGAAATAAACGTTAAGAAAACACGATTACAAGTGCAAGTCTTACTTCCATTCTTGCAGAAATATACATTTGAATACACAGTAAGTAGTGGGTATTCAAATATGGAGCACATTTAACAATTGTGGCCCATCGATAGGTCATTGGTCTTTAAGGACTTTCAAGTCTTCCTTTGAGGTTTACGATGCATAAAGGAAGAACATAATAGGCCTCTATAAAACATAGTTTCTTTCAGAAACGGACGCATTCTATGTGTGCTTGTCCAGTAAAGTAGTGCAAAGAACAATGATGATGAAAGCAGTGTAGTAACCTCTGACAACCATTCCTACTTCCTTTTTAGATTTCAAATTTAAAAGCAAGAGAAGGACATAGTATGGGTACCCAGAACAAACGTTGCTTCTATCAAACACACACTATTCTAAATAGCAGTGTTATCACGATTTCACATGAATTCCCAACTAGACTTTACAGAACTGAAAGTTTCAGATATCTGTGTATACAAGACCTAATTCACTTGACCATTAAGGGAACTAAAAGATTTTTAATATGTGTTTTATATTCATACACTTACATACATAGTGACCCCCAACATTATATGTAATTTATTCACATTAAATCACAATGGATTTAACACAAGTGTTAATTTCTTACAATGGCCAAGTCAGAATCTTAGGGCCCATTCACACTTGCACATTGTGGCAAACAGAATCAACACGCCTTGCAACAAAACAGGGCAACAAACTTGCTCTAGGTTAATGTCACTCCAATGAATTGTACAGTAGAGCCCAATGACAGCAAAGGGTGGACAGTAGTTGGAGTTTTCCCATTCACAGAACTCTGAATGAATGATGCGGCTGGATGGGCCTGAACTGCCACTTTTTTTTTTTTTTTTAAATTGTGACAGCGAGTTTGGGGAGAAGATTTGTGACTCACTGTCACTAGGGGCGGGGGATCGCTGAGAGGCTGAAGCAGTTAGAAAATGTTACATGTTCCACTCAAAAAACAGGTGGAACATGTAACATGTTTCCAAAGGTGAACTTATTCTCTAACTCACAGGCGTCAAACTGGTGGCCCTCCAGCTGTTGCCAAACTACAAGTCCTATGAGGCATTGCAAGGCAGACAGTTACAAGCATGACTCCCAAAGACAAAGGCATGATGGGACTTGTAGTTTCGCAACAGCTGGAATGCCACCAGTTTGACACCCCTGCTCTGAGTCGAAGTTAGAAGCCGATTGGCTACAATGCAGAGCTGCATCAGATATTGCACTCTCCGTTTTTAGTAAATCAACTCCTTTAAGTCCTGAAGGTAAGTGTGAACAGTGATTGTAGAGCTGTAAAAATCAATTATATCTAGGCAAATTTTAACATAGGATTGCAAAAAAAAATGTTTTTTTGGTAGTCAAAGGTCTGTACAGTCAATCTTTTATTGGGATTACTTTAAAATGATATATAAATCATCACATTATAAATTTTAAAGCTGTGTGTGTTACCTCTGACAACCATTCCTACTTCCTTTTTAGATTTAAAATTTAAAAGCAAGAGAAGGACATAGGGGAGTACTTAGTTATAACAAACCTTTGAACAACTGGATTGTAACATATATAGTCCAAACTTCAGTAACATTGGTCTCTTTCTGAGCTCTGTTCCCTGTGCCCTGACCTCAGGAGGTCACATATTTAACAGCCATAAACAACGTTCTTATGTGCCGATTGTTTGGTGCCAAAAGCTCTTTATGTTTATTTTTCTGTTCTACAATGTCAGAAGTTTAATCCTTGTTAACTAAACTTTTAACCTTCAAACATTTTTAAAACTTCTTATAGCGCCTCATGCTGGGAAGCTGCAGGGGCATCTTGGAGGTGAGAAGACTATACCGTAAAGTAGATCACTGTGTTGCCACAAAAAAACAAGGTGTATGTCTACAACAGTATATCAAGTTCTCAAACCAAGTACGGGTTAACGGCACCATGCTTTCTTTTCATTCCTCAAGGGCCCTAATCTTCCACTATGTCAATGTTCTATTGTTACAACATCAAAGGGTCCCTACTGTGAGAGACACACGGTCAATGTGAAAAGGGTGAGCGGTGAATTTACTGCTCCACTTCATTCCTTTTAAATAGGACAGTCACAGACATCAACCCTTAAAGAAAAGTCTGCATGGTGCTGCCTCTGGAGGGGCATTGAAAAAGATGGTATCTTAAAAAGGAATACTAAACAGGGCTTTAGACTCTCCAGTGCATCCATTTTGTGTGACCTGTAGGTCATCTACCGTCCTTGTTGGGCCTAATGCACTCTACTATTGCATGACCCCAATGCAACAAGGACACAGAGGAAAAAGCCTCATGCCCATAGGTGCATTAGGGGTGTATGATGTAAAATGTTCCTTTTTTTCCATGCTCGGCAGGCCCAGGTGCTGCATACAACTGCTCTTAG